CTTTTACCAGTGTTTTATTTCTTTGGATGGATTCAAGTTAATAAATAGTGTTCTTTTGTTTCAGCCTGAAAGGTTCAGTTTAGCTTTAGCTTTAGGACAGGTCTTCTAGTGACCAGCTCTGAGAATGTCTTAATTTCTCCTTCATTTTTGAAAGAAGGTTTTTGCTGGATATAGAATTCTTGGTGCACAGGTTTTTCTTTCAGCACAACTTTTCTTTCAGTTGTCCTACTGACTTCTGGCCTCTGGTTTCTGATGTGAAATTAGCCATTACTCTTATTAAGGCTCCTTTGTGTGTGATGACTCACTTATTATTTTGAGGATACTCTTTGTCTTAAAATAATTTGGTTATAATGTAGATCAGAGTGAATCAGTTTGAGTTTATCCTCCTTGGAGTTCATCATTCTTGGATGTACAGAGAAACATTTACAGATTTCATCGAGTTTGGGGGGCTTGAGGCCATTATTACTTCCGATATTCTTTCTGACCCTTTGTTTTCTCCTCCTGAGACTACCGTTATGCATATGTTGGTGTATTTGCTGGTGTCTTAATGGTCTCTGAAGTTCTGTTGATTCCTCCTTAATTTCTCTTTCTGCTCCTTAAGCCAAATAAATCTTAGTTGACTTACCTTGAAGTTTGCCTACTCTCCCTGCTGAAATCTGCAGTAAACCCTCTAGTAAATTCTTCATTTCAGTTATTGTACTTTTAACTCCAAAATTTCTACTTGGTTTCTTTTTATAATTTCTATTGATATTCTCCATTTGATGAGGCATCGTTTTTAGGGTTTCCATTACTTTTTGAACATATTTTAAATACTGATATAAAGTCTTTTGTTCAGTAAGTGCAGTGTCTGGGCTTCCTCAAAGGAGGTTTCAGTTAGTCTCTTTTTTCCCTGTGTATAGGCTATACTTTCTTATTTCTTTGCAAGCCTGATACTTTTTATTGAAACCAGACATTTTTAATATTATGATGTAGCAACTCCAGAAATCAGGTTCTTCATTCTCCCCAGAGTTGTTTAGTGACTTTTCTAAACTAATTTTGTGAAAGTTTGTGTGTGGCCATGAAGTCTCTGTTCATTAGCTTAGTGGTCAGCTTGTTATTTAAAAGAGATTTCCTGAACTACCTGTAAGTAAAAAACAAAACTCTCCAGTCTGTGCAGTTGGGCTCTTATGTATGTTGAGGCACATCTTCAACACTCAGGCAGCTGACAACTCTTTTTTAGCTTTCACTTTATGTGTAGAGCCTGAAGGTCAACCAGAGGTGAGAATGTAGGACCTTCTCAGGTCTCCTCTGAGCATATTCCTAGCGCTGGACATGCCCACAGCTTTCTGGGTTTCCCAGAATATGCAGGAGCTTTTTGATGCCCTTATTCCCAAAGCATCTCCATCACCAGTCTTTCTTCCCAGGCTTTTTGTTTTGCCTATTGTTTGCCCCAACAAATGCCAGTCAAACATTTTAAAATAGTATATTTTATGATATTGAACTATATGTTCAATTCTTAAAAATAAAACACACAAAGGATGTACTACAAAGAGTGGTGTGTCCGTGCCTCATATCGAAATTACCGAGTATCATAATTGTTCCAAGTGGTAAA